ACAACGCATCGCATTTCATTTACTGCCGTTTGCATAATTGAAATTTTTTTCAGTGTTCATCAAATCAAATTTGTTGTAATAACAGATTTACAACCAAAAAAATTCTTTTTATTATTATTTCCTTTTATTTAACGCTTATAATGGCACAGCTAATTGAATAATAAATGTCTACATATTTATCGCAGTGCATTTTTGCTGATTTACTAATGTTTTAAAAATGAAATAATAAAATTTAAAATAAAATTTTTATACAGTAACTGCAAGTAGTAGGTGACTTGTATGGCCGCGTATGTGTATGATATTCACATGATGAACAAAAATATTTTATAACTTATAAACTGGAAATTGCAAAGAAATCCGGAGAAAATTTAAAAAATTCATGCAATAAATGCAAAAAAAGCCGAGAAATACAAAATATTCCGAAGAAAAAAGGGCATATAAAAATTAATAATTACTAAACAATTACTAAAATAATTACTAAACAATTATGGCGATGCAGTTAAAATAGATTTCGCTACAAATAATGGCGAATTGTATGAAAGAACTACTTGTGAATGGGCTCTGTTGAAATAGTTGACGTTTATGGCTAAATTTTAATTCAAACAATTAAATTCCATATTTTAGCAATATTATTTGAGTAGAATGCGTTATAACTCTTCGTACTCTTCGTACAAATTTGCAATTTGCAATTTTCCAAGCTTAACAATAGGCTAAGGCAATCGATGGCTATCGATAGATCCTTTTAAAGCCCCTTTTCGCAGAACCAGTTGGAAATTTATTTATTTCAATGTGCATTAGTGGTACTTCGATTTACTCGACTTTGCTGCTAACCTTTGTGCGCGCAGAAGGTGCAGTTCAGTTCCGCTATGTAATTTAATATGTAATCGAACCGAATCGTTGAAATCAAATATTTGGGACAATCTTTTTCAAAATAATTAATAAGAAATCAACGACAGTAAAACAGTAAAATTTGAAAAAATTCGATTTAATTAATAATCAAATTTTTTTGCGTAAAAAAACTTTTGTTTCTAATTTTTTTAAAATTATTTTTTCATTTGGTGAATTGCATTTCCTCCGTTTTATCGAAATTTTCTTTATGATTCGCATCTATTTTTTTTCTGAAAAAAACTCTGTACAGAATAATTCAACACGAATTAATATTAAAGCACATATATGCATTATCATAATTCGCGTAGGAAGGCAATTAAAATATATGGTGGCAAATTTTTATTGATTATCACTTCGGTTCAGAAGCGATCGTTGAGCGAAAAATGGCAAATCACTTTTTCTCACTTTTATATCGCTATTTTAGTTGAAAAAATCATTTCTGTAGTTAATAAAATAACCGTAAAACCGTATAGTATAGTAAGATTACTATTATTAGTAAGCAATTTTAGCAAAATTGTCTCTCTCGCAATACTGTTCAACTGATAATCAATTGAAGAAGAGCGAACCTAAAATGGTGAGTGCTAATCGCTCGCTAGCTCACAACATTGCATGGAATTCTTCGGGTGCAAAAAAATAGATTTATATTCAAAAAGTGGTCCATATTACACATAAAGGCCACCTTAGTTACTCAAAATTACCTTTTTTTAAAGTAAAGAAGTTATCGCTGTTAATTGTTGGTTTTCCGTACTTCTTTTAGTACTATTTCAAACCAATTTGGCTTCAGATAATAATACCAACTAATTAAATAATTTTATTAATAAAATAATGCAATATTCAATATTTATATTCGAGCAAATAAAAGGATTCTACTTTTTATCAATTTTTTTTCTATTTTAGGTTTTTTTATTCCATAGAAATCTTCTTTTTCTTCTTCTAACAGCTCTCACCATTACTCTCACCGTTAGGCTGGTTGCAACAGCTATAAGGGTAAGACGCTTCCAAGCGGCGCGGTCTGATGCTATCGTCGACAGTATTAGAAGCCATTCGTTTTTTCTAAGTCCATATATCGCTGCTCCACCTATACGTTCAAAATCTTTCCTGACTGTATCAGTCCAGGTCTCTCTTATGGCATAGAAGTGGCAAATACAAAAGAAAAAATTTTGGTACAAAAGCAAAAATCGGTAAAAAATACATTGAAAATTTCCGGAGGCATTATTAAAAATTTTTTGGAATTTTTTATTTTTTTTATGGATTTTTTTTAAATCCTCAAGTATCGCATAACTTACATCCATAAATTATTTCCCATTTCACTTTCATTCCTTGCGATTTATTCTCCAAATTTGTTTCCATTCAAGGATTAGCATTAATATATACTTTTTTATCCCTATTTTAAACGCTTCCTTTATTTTTCATATTCTTTAATTATTATTGCTAGAATTCATCATTCTTCACTGAAATATTCTGCCGCTCTTTATATGCCATCATATGCTAGAGATTTATCTGTATTTCTATCCTCAATTAGCTGCTCTTTATCCAAAGGACTTCAATCTAATTGGTAATGAAATCAGCCAAAATTAGAAATAATAAATTCTATTAAAAGGATTTTCAAAATTTCAACTATTTATGAATATTATCCAGTGATAATTAAAAATGATAAGAGATGAATGATAAAGATATTTCTGACTTTTAGGCTTTTTTTTGAAAATTTGAAAGTTTTTGAAAATAATTTTTTTTTCAAAACAATTCCAAGTATAAATTTGAGGATCTTTCATGGAAGTAATCAATAAACATGGAAAGCGTTGAAAGTTTGAATGCATTTCAGCTGAACTAGCACATTCGCGTATTTGTTTATTTCATAAATTCTGGCAATTTTTGTGGAATAATATTTTCATTTGTGAAAATTTATTTCTATGATGATTTCTATGATTCTTCTTTTTCTTCTAATAGCTCTAATACCATTACTGGTTAGGCTGGCTACGCTGGCTATAAGGGTAAGACGTCTCCAAGCTGCCTGGTCTGACGCCATCGCTAGTAATAATAGAAACCATTCCTTTTCCCATCGTCTAAGTCCATATCGCTGGTCTTCCTATACGTTCAAAATCTTTATGATAATATATTGCCTTTTATATAAATTTTATTATTTCTAAATTATTCCACTAAATGTAGGCTTATTTCTTTTCTTAATTTTCTCTTAATTTGTCAAGTAGAAAATTGTTTTGCAACTGAATTTGCAAAAATTAAAATTTATTAAAAATAGAATAGATGATGCAACATTGTTTTACAACATTGTTCAGAGTGGTTTTAGTCTCCTAGCATTCACCATTTCTAGTCTGGAAGGCTCGATTTGCTATTAGAGTGAAGCGCTATTCCAATAGCAAATCACGTGGAGGCCTCAGTGGACCCTCAAGTCAATATTCGTTCAAATGTTAATATGAGAAATAATTGCAGACACATACATCGAGACAACCAAAAAAGTATAATTTTTTTTAAAAATTACTTTATGCTTTTGCCAGTAAAATGTTCACAGAACGAGAAATAATAATCACAGTTACGTCCGTTAATTCATCAATAATTCACGACTTGATTTATTTCATATATTAACTTATTAGAATTAGAATTTTAAGAATTAAAAAAAAATTTGCGAAAATTATTTTTGTTTTTTATTAATAGAAAAACTTTTGGAATTTTTCCAAAATGAACACTATTTTTACACAAAAATAATTCGCATTACATTTAAATAAATTTTTTCACCATTTTTCTTCTTAAATTTTTGATAAAAATTAATTGAATCGTCTGAATTCTCATCTTCTCATTCCTCCTTTTTTCGCCTTTTTGTTGAAATAAATTCTTGAATCATTTCGAAATTCTGTTATTGTTCTGAATACGAGTTTCTTTCATCATACGCCATTTTCAACTTCTCAGAAACATTTTTCTAGTGATACTAAATAATGGTGATAATGGTGGTTTTTATAGGTTAAGATTTTTTATTCTTATTTAATAATGATAATGATTGGTTAGTTATTAGTTTATTAGTTACTGAATGGTTAAAATATTTTTCTTAGCGAAAAAATTTTATTATTTATCGGTCAGATCGAAAAGACGAGATTCAAAAATATAAGACGATGATTGAGAAAAAGAAAATAGCACCATAAAGCATGAAGAAGCTAAATGGTACTGGTTACGAAGCATTAGGTTTTGTCAGGCAACAGTGTTGTCGAAAGCTAAAGAGGTTAGTCAGAAGCTCTCAGTGGATTGCTGTTCTCGCCTCGAAGCGCTAATGCTGGCGTCTTACTCTGTCCTTCAAAAATCCGAGTGATGGTGGCGACTCACTTGTGCTTCCAGTGATAAGTAAAAAAAATCCAACAAGCCAGTGGAGCGAGCCTAATAATCAGTATTGTGCGTTCTTAAAAAAAATGCTTGAGTAGCAGATGGCTTTATCTGAGACTAACTATCACCAGCATTATCATCAACATTAGCACTGATTCCTGTACCTTTATATGTCATTAAAATCATGGAAACATTAATTTGCGTTTAGCCAGTAAAATTCGCTTATTTCATGTTAAATTGCCGTTGAATGCGAAGTTCATTTGAATGACTTATGAAATTTTTCCTTACTTTACTATTCAATTTATTTTCAATTTATAATCTAAGGTTTATAAGGAGTGATTTCTTTTGTTGGACTCAAAAATGAAAAAAAAAGAAATAATTTTTATTTAACAATAATAATAATTTATAAAAGCAATGTTATTTAATACTACTTCACAAAAATTTCTGGATTTAAGATGAACGAGAAAATCACGTGAAAAACATAAAGTGGCTTTAAAAAAAATAAAAAAATATGGCAAATAAATTCTTAAAAAAATAAATTCTTAAGACGATCATCTCAGAAACTTTTCATTATTTATTTACTTTTGTTCTTAGAAAAATATTTTGGGTATTTTTTCATCAATATTAGCAAAGCCAGCAAAATTCAGTATTTTTCAAATTTTAAAGATATTTTTCGATATATATCTGATTTCTGATAATACACCTCTTGCTTCTCATTCATTCATTAATTCTCTAGGTAGACAAAATATTACAATTAATTCTGGGAGCAAGGAGTTTTTTTGACCATGAAATCGATTTGGAATTCTAAAAGAGGACTCGGATGGATTGTTACAGCTTTCTTTATAGCTGCTGATATGGTTGGCGGAGGACTTGTTGCTATGCCTGTGGCATTTCTTAATACAGGTAGATTTGAAAACATAAAAATACAAAAGTAATTCATTCATATAAAATTTGTCTATTCAAGGTCATAAATAATTCCCAAAGCAATTACCAAATTTTTAACAGTTTGAAGAAATTCATTTGCATTTTCTTTCATTTCATTGCTCCAATTTTGCTTTTTTTAAATTTTTAATATGATTGAAGTAATGTATTTATTATTTAAGAAATCTTTGAAAATATTCAAAAATTAAATTTAAAAATTATATAAAATATTGTAGAAAGTTCACCAGTAATAACTAAACTCACCAGTACATATTATTTAATGTGTTAAACAAGAAATGAATAGAAAAAATGAATCGGCGGGAAATAAAATTTTGAGGTTTGGTGATGGGATGCTTTATTATGTTAGTTTTGGCAACACTTTTTGCATACACAGCATACTTATTGGGCATCAACTGGGTAATAATGCAAGAAAGATGGCCAGAATATCAGGAACATTGCCGAAAACCATATCCAGAAATGGCATTGAGGAGTATGGGCACAAAAATGAAGTAAGTTTCATTATCAGTTTATTATCATTTTCAACACACATTAGTGGAATAAAGCTTATGAATAAAGATATCAATTTTGTATAAAGAATAATTTTAAAATCCTATACAAATTTAATTGCATATTCCTTTTTTTCGATAAATTATTGTTTTAAGGCGCTTATAAAAGCGATTATACGGCAAACGGGAAAGAAATTTTTCCTTTTGAATTAATTTTGTAATTTTTTTGGTAAAATTGACTTAACAGCAAAATTTTGTGAAGTAAAAGCTGTACACAGTATTAATACAGTATTACAATATAAACTATGGCTGTCTTCAAATGTCGAAAGCCACTAGAAATGATGAAGGTAAATTAGAGTTATTTATTTCTTAGTTTATTTGAGGATTATGTTAAGAGCTTCAAAAATCTGTCGTCGTTGAAACTTATGGAAGCACAAAACTTTTAGAAAAATCTTTCAGGGTATTTACATCATTCATTGTATGTGCAACGATGTTTGGCACGGCTGTTGTTTATATATTATTATCAACGAGAATATTTCAATCGTTTCTTGGCTCAATTTTCGATGTGCAAATTCCTTTCTGCCTCTTACTTGTCGTGGTTACAATAAATATAATGCCTTTGGCATACTTGAAATCACCTGCAGATTTTTGGTTCGAATTTTCGATAGACGTTAATCTCGAAAAGACCAATGAAATGTTTTTTCTATGTTCAAATCGTAAGTAGCTAGAAGGCCTCACTTCTATAGTAAAGAGCCAGCCAGCTTGACGAGTTTAATGAAGAACTGCCGAGAATCGAACGATCGTAGTTGGTTTAAAACTATTATTCCATATTGAATTAATTTTTTTTCCAGGCTGGTGGTTATAATCTCATTAGGATGTACTGTGCTTGCTATTTTGATGTCCATTGGCGGTATCGCTGTTGATACGCCTGCGTGTTTCCCTGAAGCAAAATACCCTCCATTATCAATATGGGAAACACTCTATTCACTTGGCACATTCTTTTTTGCATTCAGCGGCCATCAGGTTTTGCCTACAATACAACACGATATGTATCGACCAAAAGAATTCACAAAATCTGTTATCCTTGGCTTTATAAGTAAGATTCATTCTGTCTAGCCGGTTTCAGGTTTTCCTTATTGAAAAATCTATTTTTTCCAGTAATATCGATCCTATACATGCCAATATCAATTTACGCGTTTCTTGTATATGGCGATAGTATGAGTGGTTCAGTTATGGATTCGATACAAACACCTGCTGTGCGACATGTCGCAAATATTTCAATAGCTTTACACTGCATTCTTGCATTGATAATGATGGCAAATCCATTGTGCCAGCAAGCTGAAGACTTTTTCAATGTTCCACACAGTGAATTTTTCTTAATTATCCAACAAATTGACTGAGGCATGAATGACTTTTTGTTAAGATGACTTTTTTTGAAAGATGTTGACCATTTCTAATTGGTCTCTATTGCTAGTCAGACAAATTTTGTCGGGGAGTCATTTGGTTGGACACTCGGGTCACTCGGATTTCTGAAATAAGTTTTCTGATGTATAAATAGGTATTCCTAAGGCAGCAGAATTCCAGCATCGTCGCTCCGAAATGAGAGCAACCCATTGAACCATTCTAAATCTCTCCACAGTAAAAATGTGTACAAATAAAGAATAAATTCTATAATGCCTAAATTCTATAATTCTAAAGTCGAGATGCTACAAATTAATTTTTGTTAATCACCATGGTGATTTGTTATGGTAGCAGTTGATATAATCATTACAGCATTCGGTTTGAAACGCGTAGTTGTTCGGACATCCATCATACTTGCAATGTTATTTATGGCATTACTTCTGCCTAATTTTGGACCATTTATGAATCTCGCTGGCAGTATAACGAATCTCACCGTTTGTGTTATATTACCGATGCTTTTTAATTTGTATATTGAAGCATCTGTTGTTGATCGAAAAAATGGACAATATAAAATTCCATCATTCGCTGAGTAAGTCGAAAATTCCGTTTCCCAGAAGTTTCCTGAAAATTTTCGAACTTCGCATCTTTAATTCTCCAATCACTCTTTCTTTTTTTAAAAAGAATTCGTGGGAATTAAGTGAAATTCATTTTTAGAATAGTGAATCGAACAAATAAAGCAAAGTTGGCCGTTTCGACTTTCATTGTTGGTAAGTTATTTTGATCTAAAGTGACATATTAGGTCCTTGCAATATTCCATTTCACCAAATTGTTCGCTTCGCTTAGCAATAATAAAATTCTATAAGCTATACGGCATGTATAACGATGAACACGTGGTAATGTTTAGTTCTGAAAATTATCATAGATTTCGCAGATTTGAAAAAACACCCATCGCCTCCATCCAGTATTATCCAAGGAGGACAACGGGCCTTATAAATCATCTTTCTAAGTAAAACAAATCTAATTGAGACAAAATAAAAAATTTCAGTAACGGCTATTTTTGGTACCATTTTATGCGTCTATCTGTCATTAAAAGAAGTGTTAACGGTGCGTTTTACTCCTCCATGCTTTTTCTCATCGTTCGATTCGCGTCAATTTGGTGAAAATTTTGATACTCATCATATTCGTTGTTGTGGTAGTGAACGCAATATTCTCTCCATTGTTAATTCAACCGGTGTTTGTTATGCATAAATACGCTAAGGTAGGCAACGTTTCCCGAATTATTTCGTCCGAAAATGAAATTTCTCATTAAGAAAGTTGCTTAAATTATGCCCGCATTTCCTAATGCCAATAATTTCTTCCTAATTCTTATTTCCACTTTTTTTCAGAATTCCAGCAAAATTTAGAATAGAAAAGTTGCAGAATTTTACGATTTCTTTGGATGATTTAAATTGGTGTATAGTTGTGAAACCGACCAATAATATTTCATAAAATTATTTTTTTTGCTAGATTGTCGGTACTATCAGTTTTTTATGTCCGACTGTATACAATAAAACTGTAGTCGACTTATTTGTTTATTTCGTACTACAAAAATAATAAATTTATAATAAATAAACGAGGAAAAAATTGTTAAATTGGTCATTTTTTGAATTCCTTTTACGTTGATGGCGCGGAAAAGCGACAAAATAGCGCGGCAGGTCGCTTTTCAACCTTTAAATTTAATAATAAATCGAACAATAACGACAATAAAAATGAAACTGAATACAAAGGATAAATCCAAAACTCCATAAATTTTAAATTTATCTATTTTACCTTTTCAACCTAAATTTACAAATTCAAATATAATTAAATATAATTTAAAAATTACACATTAAATGAATTCCAGGAAGTTGAAAAAAAGGAGAAAAGTTATTTTAAAGTTGAATCGCTATGACGAGAATTTGATTGTTCGTTGCTTTTAAGAAACCAAAGAATTTGGAAATAATTCGAAAACAAATTACTTTATATGTCAAATATGACGGCAAAAAAACGAACAATCTTGCCAAATAATGAATTTAATCAAAAGTAATTTACATTGGAAAAAATCATTTGCAATATAACTTTCAAATTAAAAAGTTTTTTGACAAAATAAAATTTATTGGCAATAAAAATTTTAAAAATTTTTTCTATACGAGGGTTATAAAATGTTTCATTAATAACAATAATAATAACGTATTTACTGTATTTATTATCAAATTTAATACAATCTTCTCCATCCAAATCTTGGAATTCAGTGATGTAGAGCATTGCTTTTAAGAGCATTCACTAATCACCTTTGGCTTGCTGGCTCAACTGGCTATTAGGATTGGGTCCAATGGTCGAGAAAAACACGAATGGCTCCCAAACGCCATGCGAATAATTCAAGTGATATGACTGCAAAAATAAGCATCCTTTTCATTCCAATTTCAGCAGAAATCCATTAGAAAATTTTTCCATTTATTAAATTTCATTTTTTTTCTAGTAACGAGACACGCTGAACTGATTTACGCGAAGGCAAAGGCGGCCCTAAGCTGAAAGGTATGCGACCTCGCTCGGAGGGAAATGGCCGCCCAAGATTCCTTAAACGAATTTCAGAGATTCGTTTCCTTCCTTCCAAGAAGAGTTTTCTTTTCTTTTATTGATTTGCTTAATTTTCAACATTTCGCTATAGATTTTCTCCACTTCCTGATCAACAAAGTAATAAAATTTTCGTCAAAAATCTAATCCAATAAATTTTTTGAAGCAAATGCGAATGATCATTTTTAAGAGCGCTCACAGTTTTCTGTCAGACCGCATTGCTGGAGGAAATTTGCTAAAACAGGAGAATTTTGTCAGTCGGAGAGAATCGAAATAAAAGTGAGTGGGTTGCCAGCGAGACCCACGCCAAGACCGCCCAAAGACCGCTTCGACCCAGTCGGAATCAGAATGCACGCAGAAAACTCGACTAGAATCCACAAATAAATTTAAGGTTAACCTGCCAATTTTAAAATTAGTCTAAAAGTAGTCGATTGCTAAATCGCAGATTGTTTTTACTAAATGGCAGTCGCGTGGGTATCTCCTGTGTATAATTTATTTTTTTAAGTTTTCCGATCTGGTTCTTTCGTAGTTCCTTTTGTAATTATTCGTTGTACTGGTTGGTGTCGCGATGCTTGCGTGATTCACGTATAGATTCGTGAATATATAATCAAGTGAACGAGATTAAGCGTCGTAATATAATAGATTATGAATTTTTCAAGAGAGAGGCGAGTGAAAAAAAAATGAAGTACAAGTTGTCCTTTTATGGTTCTCTTCAAAAGGCTTTATCTTGTTGATGTTCACCAGGAATGGCGCATAAAAAAAGATTGCAGTGTACGATGATTTTCAGAGAATGGTGATTAAATTATCCAAATCACTTCCTGAATGGTTGAATAAAACTGTTAAAAATTTAAATTACTCGCCGGGTCGCCGTGTCGTTGTTATTTCAGTTTTCGGTAAGGAAACGGCTGAGATTCTTAAAACTCAGTGCATTAATGATTTCCTTGAAATGGACGCATTTTCATATGAATGTTCGTGGACCAATGCACAATCATCGGTTCGTTTATTTACATTTTCTTGACTTACTATTCGTTTGTATGGGCAACTGCGGTAGGGAATTAAGTCTTTTAACGTTCTTTTCTCTCTTCTCTTCCCTTTCTCTCTACTATGTTTCTTCCATTCTTGCCTATCGTCGTGATATTTCGACAATTTGCGTGTCTTCCTGGTGAAAGAGTGGCAAAAGGAAAAGCAGAGGCCAGCCAAGCCAAAGTTGTTTAATATTAGATGTAGAAGGTAACAGTTTGTAACATTTTTTTCTGCATTATCATCTCACATCTTCTCTTTTCACCGTAATATTTTTCCATCAAAAAAAGTGAATATCGGCGGCTATTTACGAATCCGAAAAGTACCTTTATCCGTTTTGGTTTTCCTTGATGGCTGCAAATCACGTTTTTTTCATTTTTCCATTTTCTTCATCGCATCATTGATTATATTAGCTGTGAACATAACGAGCATTGTTGATAATGCTCATTCGTTTTTATTTCGAGTTACTACTTTACTATTTTCTAACATATTTTTCAGATTGAAGCCTATTTTTGTAAAGCTTTTTCGACCCTTTTTTTATGTTTCAATGGTTATGGTGATATGAAATCAATCGAAAATATTTTTGCTGATAATTCTACAGTGGTTTTTTTTGCTTTTTTTCATTTTTATTTTTATTAATTTTTATCTTTCTGTTAATAATTTTTAGTTTACGGTTAATCTTTTGGAAGTTTTGAAAGCAAAATTCAGTCTAAAAAAGCATATTATATGAATATGCCAAAATCGAGGGTAGAATGGCTCATCCGGTTGTTGCTCTCCTTTCCGTGCTAGGACCGTTTTAGCCAGAATGTGTTCTGTGATATCAGTTTAAATTTAGTATTTAAGCAATGATGTTCGGTAAAATTAGGTGATTTTCAAGAAATTAAGGTTCTAAAAATTGTAAATTTATCTTTCTTTTCTTTTTACATCTGATTTAGTTGATCCCATCGAATGCTAGATGAATCCCGTACATACAAGTCATTAGGGAGTAGTTTAAAAATGTCTTTTAAAATGTCTATACCTTTTAAAATGGAAGGAATCGAATCCACATTGTTTAAACTCAGTTGAAGTATCATTTTCTGGCTTTAAGCTATAAGAAATAGAATCTAGACATAATTTAAATCATTTGTAGTCTGAAGGTTTTTTCGATCGTTTATCACAATCAGAAAATGATCATCTTCGTCATTTGCTTTTTGCATCGATTATTTCACATGGAATCGTATTTGTGGAACCTTGCAGTAGATTTGATCTTAACATATGTCGTTATCTTATGAAAGCAAATCAGCTGCGATTATCATCGCGAGAAAAAATTTGTGAACAAATGTCTTTAATATCTGATTTTCCTGTCAGTTGGGCAACAGAAGGTCGTTTAGCTACACCTTACGTATATTTTGCTTACTATCGTAATATGACAAGAATTGATTCTAATAAAAAGGTTATTTGAATATTTTTTGATCTCATAAATATTTTCATTTATTTCAGAAAATTAAACGGTATTGTTGAATTTTAAAATTTATTAAAGAATAAACTGTGGAAATTTTTTCATTGATTTTAGCATTTGTTTTTAATTCAATCAGATTTTAAAATTCTTTAGTTATATGCATGGTTTCTTAATTTTTTCCTTGCATTGACCCTCTGCAGAAAGAATATTTTTTATCAGCTACAAAAAAAATAAAAGAATTTTTTTCCTATCAACTACCTATAAAAGAAATATTTTTTCTCTTCGATCCCCTTTAATATTATTCGTGAAGTTTTTTGTGTTATATCATGTAGATTAATGTAGATTCATGTAGAAAAAATAGTGAATGAAATAGTTATTAGATTATTTTTTTGAAATTCCAATCTTCGTCGGATTGTAGTACATCGGAGAAATGCATAGGAGAGTAGAATGGGTTGATAGCTCAATGGGTTGTTGCTCAATTCAGATTTTCTTTTTTTATAGGGAAAATTTTGGCTGTTTACCTGATTGAAAGCAATTTTTTATAAATCTAATTGAAATTAGTCTAGTTTCGTCTATAAATCTGGTTGGAACTAGTCTCATTTTGTCTTTAAACGCTTATTTAGCATAATATTTTGTTATAAAAGCATTTTTTTAAAATAAAGAAATGTAGAAAAAATAGATTACAGTGATATGCTAAAATGCAACCTTCGCACTATTTTGCAGCTGCCTTCGATTCGCTTGATAGAATAGCGGTCTGGAAAATATGAAACTTGAGGTTCCCAGGGAAGATCATTCGGCTTATAAAGTCATTTTATCATTTTATCAGCTCTGGCATAGGTCTGTGTATTTGTGGAAGTGACAGAAATTGAAATATAAGAAATATATAATATAAAAAGAGATTAAATAAGAAATAAGAACTGGTGTTCTTCAAGTTATGTCCTTTCCCCTACAATATTCAACTATGCGTTAGATTGGATTATGGACAGCGCTTGTCACCTCTCAAGAGATCTACAAATTAATCCAGAACATCGTATCACAGATCTTGAATACGCTGATGATATAGTCATTTTTGCTGACAATTATAATGCAATGCAAATATTGTTAAACAATATCAACAATTACAGCGAGAATTGGACTCAAAATCAATGCAAAATCAATATAACGAAAGTTTTTTCGTCTTATATACAAGTAATGCTGT